GTAATTATTCAAAAAAAATCTCAATGAATACGATTTTCTATGAATTGGATACTAGGAAATGAAAAGGAAATATATTTAAAATTTACGAAAAAGAGAAATAAGAGTGCGGACGTCAGGATGACATCATTGCTCGGCGAACGCGAATCGGACGAAAACAGAGTTCCGCCCGGCGATTCTTACGTAAGCGATTACAAATGATTTAATTAATCAAATTAAGATCTGTAAAAGTCGGAAGAATCGTAATAGAACAAAGTATATTTTGGTAAATTAAAATCACAAAAACTATCACTAAATGAAGTGTAAAGTAAGTTGAAAGTAGGAAAACAGAGTTCTGGAGTCGCGATGGTGATGCGTCGGCGATGCACCGGAATCTTGAGCATTCGGGAGGATCGTCATGTAGTGTCCACGGCCTCGAAGGCTATCCTTGGACAAAGACGACGTGGGCAATCTCTAGATCTTTTCGCGAAGTCTAGATATTAATGGAATGGGTCGTTGAGTCGTCTCCGACGGCTGTCACCCGGCAGAGTGGAAAAACGGCGACTTTGTGGGTCTCCGGCGGCTGTCACCCGACAGAGAGGAGCTGGATGGAGGTGGGGCGCGTGTCAGGGAGCTTCATCCTCATGTCTGCACAACAAGAGGAGGCTCTTCATCGCATCTGGTACGCTCTCAGGAGGTGGCGACTCGTCTACCGGTGGATCGTCCTCTACCCGATGACAGCTTGTTCGTCGATCAATCGGAGATAATTTACTCAATGGATTCGCGATCCTTTTATCGCGAATCATTCAACAATTTTAGTAGCAATGCTCCGCGAATCGCGTTGACGATATTTTCGCCGATGATCTAGCGATTCTCGTTGCTTAATCCTTCACCGGCGATCTGCAGGAAAGTTGTGATAATCAGATAAAAATATATGACTTTTGACTCTAGGAGGATTCAAACCCGCGCCGATTGTCCGCCCCTTGTGAGGAAGGTGTGATGCGGGTTTAGTCCCACATCAGTTGTGCGCCGATTTTGCAAGCGAATATATAGTAATGTTACATTTCTAAGCAAAGTTCCTTCTCTCGCATGTACGACCACTCTTTGCCCCACAGCCGGCTGACCACTGGTGACGTGGAAGGGGAGTGGTGCACACGTGCCCCTATCAGTCCAAGCCGCTCGAGCCCCTGCTCGCGGCTACTCCCCGACTAAGCTTCCGACCCGCTTGTGGGCCCGACTGGCCGGCGGGTCCCCCTCATTTTGTCTTATTTTTATTTATTTTTCTTCATTTATCTCAAAAGCAAGACTGTAAAAATCATATAAATTCATGTAAAATCACATAATTACCTAAAAATTTACATTAATCAACTAAAGACCACTTTTCACACTTTAACACAAATATAAGTCTATTTATCATGAGTTAAGGCTAAAACTATATTATTTACTAATTATTAACTCATGATAATGAAGACTTATTAGTATCTTATATTCATTACCTTCTTTGCATGTATATTTCATCGATACTTTACAATATGGGAAATATTATATTTCTATGATCATCAAAAAACTTAAATCATCTATACATTAGTTGCAATGAAAATCAGTATTGGTCATAAAGTTTTTGTCAAAATTGTATTTGCCCAGTAATGCAAAGAGAAGTTTAATACAACAATTCCAAATGACTATATACAATATTGATTACATTCACTCTAACTTTGGTTATACTTAAATTGTCTTAAAAGCCAGTGAAGGTGAATTACTAACTTTTATTCATGATTTCTTAATAAAGTTGTAATACATTTTCTTTAAAAAAAAGAGTCAGTTATTTGTTATTTAGAATTGTCAAAGATATTGATTAAAAAATAAATTGATAAGAAAATAAAATATCCTTATATTAATAATAGTATAAAATTCTCATCTAAATAACTTACTAGTTCTACAACAAATGAGACCATTATTTTTTAATGAATTGTGTTAGAAATAATACAACATAATTGCATTGTAGAATGAATCAACATAAAACTTATAGAGAGAGTGAGAAGTATGTTATCTCAAATGGAACATAAAAAATACATTAGATATACATTCACAACATTGCTTGCTTGTTGATGAATAGTTTTTTGTTCACAAGTAAATGGTTGAAAATTTACAATAAGGTTTCACCTCTTAGGAGCCTTAATCATTTGCAAAAGTTTTGATGATGACAAATACACGTAAGACAATTACCTAGATCAAATTATATTTAATATTTTATTTTCATACATCACACAAGAGGGATCTTTTGGATACACACTTGAAGTTAAATAAATATAAATTTATGGAATGCACATCTTAATGGTGTCAAGTATCTTGATGATAATTCAAAAAAATATTTGATGCTTATATTTTTAAAATTTGAATTTTGAATGATTTTTCTGCTCAAAATCATTAATTTATTAACTAGTATTGAAATAAAAATACCACTTATGAAAAGTTAATGATTTAGATATCAAATTATCATAAATATTTAATATAAAATATTGATATGAAATTTTGATAAGGATACTAAATGTTCATGCTTTGAAAGTATTATTCTGAAGATTTCAATGGATAGTTAATTAATCCCATATGGACTAGACAAATGGCTTTTAAGGCATTTCTGAATAGTATTAAATATTAAATAAAAAATTGTTTTAAAATATCATATATTGATATTAAATATTGATATGGATGCTTAGTTTTACTTCTGGATAATTGCTTTCAAAATTATTATTTTAGTTTGAAATATATTTAAGGTTGCATTATTAATGATAACAAATTCTTGTTGGATACACCAAAATCAATAACTTTAGATCTATATGTTAAATCATAACATAATAGTTTTATTAATTTAATCTTACAAGATATCCATGCATTTAAAGGATATACTAAATTGATTATGGTGATCTAAATTTCTAAGTATTTTTAGGATTTTAAAATTAAAAAATGATGAAAAATATGGTAAGGGTATAACTCAAGTTTATTTTTATAAATTTAGGCCTATATAATGATTAACTAACTCTCAACAATCACCCTCAAGTTCTCTAACAATTTTCTCAAAGTTTTAAATGCAAATTTAAATGGAATTCAAACATCCTGCAACACTTTGAAGATGACATGCTAGGGAGAGATTCTTGCTTCAAAAGTCATTCTCCACAACTTTATTATAATATCAACATCTTTTGCAATCAAATAGCTTCAAAATGTGAAGAGAGATGAGAAAATTAAGTGAAGATCAACTACCTCTTCATCAAATTTGCATGAGATACAAGTCTTCATCAAATTCTAGGAAACATTGATAGTAATATTTTTTTTATTTTTCTTATTGCATAAACTTGTGGTTAAATTACGACTTTATCATCGAAGGGAGATAATCGTTATAATCATCTTAGGCTTATGTATAGTTGTTAACCTATACAATAATTTTAGGTGTAGAATTCTAAGGGGGTTGAGCTTTCTAATGATTCATTATCAATAAATTTTGCTTTTTTGGAATCCAAAAGTGAAATGTTCTTAGAGAAGGGATGTAGATATGGAGCTGAACTACTACAAAAATATTGGTGTTCCGAAGATAGAAAATATTAGAATTTAATATTAGAAAAATTATAAAAAATAATTATCATCGGAGATTGTCTATTAAGCCATGATAAATAGAGACCTTATCATTCATAAAACTTATTTTTCAGGTGAGAGCTAATGTAATAAAGATTTTCTGTAAACTTATTAATTTTTTCTTGACTTAAGAGGATAGAGCCTTATGTAAACTTCTATATATAATAAAGATCTCGTAGTCGTCGTTGGCCGTGAAAGTAGGAGCGTAACCTACAAACCACGTAAATTTGGTAAGTTGATTATTATTCCCTCTCTTTTATTCATGTGGTGGTCGTCAAGCTTAAGAATTGACATTGAAACGACTCATTTGGGAATGCGAACATGGAGAAAAATGGGAAATTTGGTAGATATGTATGATCAATGGGGAGGGTAATCAAGGAAATTTTCCAACTGGAGCCGCCATCGAGGCCTCAAAGTTTAGCGGGAGGCCACCTCCGTAAACCCGTTCCTTCGTTCAATACTCCCGTCCCTTTGGGAGGCTTCACCTGCCGTCAACCTGTCACTCTTGCCAACAGGGTATGGATGCGAAGACCAGGGGGCGACGAACTTCCTCTTTTTTGAGCCGAGCAAAGATCCCTTTCTTATATCTTAGAAAAATGGAACAGTGAATCCGTTCCCACTGCAGTAAGGGACGCCCGTAGTGCTTCCCTTGAGGTGAGACGATTCACTGGCTGAGCTTCCTCCGGCATCCGGGCTCGCCGACGCCGTCCATGGCGGCGGCCGTCTGTAGACGGGCGGGCTCGCCCGTGTGGCCGGCTTCCTACCCTCCGACCGTGGTCCGGCGTGGTCTCCGTCGATTCTTCCAAGGCCTCGCCGTCCTCCCCGTTCCCGAGTACAGCCCCAGTTGTGACCTCGCCGCCTCCAACTCCCACATTCAAGAGCTAGGTCGGCTCGGCCGCACCGAGGAGGCTCGCCACCTGTTCGATGGTATGGCTCAGCGGGACGTGGTGACTTGGAACTCCATGATCGCCGCATATTCGCACCGTGGCCTGGCCGACGAGGCGCGGGTGCTGTTCGACACATTTGCGGGTAGGAACATCCGAACGTGGACGATCCTCGTCTCCGGGTACGCCAAAGGCGGGCAGATTGACGAGGCGCGTCGGCTGTTCGATGCGATGCCGGAGCGCAACGTGGTCTCGTGGAACGCCATGATCAGCGGCTACGTGCAGAACGGCGACATCACGTCGGCGCGTCACCTTTTCGAGCAAATGCCCGAGAGGAACGTTGTTTCTTGGAATTCCATGATCACCGGATACTGCCATGCCCGCCTCATGTCCGAGGCGCGTGAGCTGTTCGAGATGATGCCCGAGAAGAATCTGGTGTCTTGGACAGTCATGATCTCTGGTTTCGTTCAGATCCAAAAATTCGGAGAAGCGTGGGACGTTTTTGTCCAAATGCTCAGCAGAGGGGTGAGGCCCGACCAATCCAATTTCGTGGCGGCGACATCGGCAGTCACGGGCCTCGGGAACCTGAAGCTGCTGGAGAGCCTGCGCACGCTTGCGATGAAGGCCAACTTTGAGGGGGATGTTGTCGTGGGCACAGCCATTCTAAACATGTACACGAGGTACGACACTCGTTTGGATCTGGCTTTCCGATTCTTCGAGGGGATGCTCGAGAAGAACGAGTACTCGTGGTCTACAATGATTTCTGCGTTGTCTCAGATCGGCCGGTTGGACGATGCCATCTCCGTGTACGACAAAGACCCCGAAAAGACCATTCCGTCTCGCTGTGCCATGTTGACAGGCTACGCTCAGAATGGAAGGGTACATGAGGCAAGGCAGTTGTTCGAGCAAACTCGTAACCCCACTGTCGTTTCCTGGAATGCCATGATCGCGGGATATGCTCAAAATGGGATGATCGAGGAGGCGATGGAGCTGTTCGACAGAATGCCCGTGCGTAATAGCATTACTTGGGCGGCGATGATTTCAGGGTGTGCTCAGAATGGGAAGAACGAGGATAGTCTGCAGCTTCTGGCCGAACTCCACAGGCGGGGGATGCTCCCCAGCCATTCATGCCTGACAACCTCTTTCTTTGCCTGTGGTAACATTGGCGCACTTGAAATGGGTAGGCAGGTGCATTCACTCGCGATAAAGGTGGGCTCACACTTCAATTCCTATGTGGGGAATGCTTTGATCACCATGTACTCTAAGTGCAAAAATTTGGGAGATGTGGCTCAGGTTTTCAGCCGGATGAAGGTCAGAGACACCGTGTCCTGGAACTCCCTGATCGCAGGGCTATCACAGAATTCGATGTTGGAGGACGCCCGTAACGCCTTCGAGCAGATGCCTCACCGTGATGCTGTTTCCTGGACGGCTATGATTTCTGCGTACGTGCAAGCTGGGCAGGGAAACGAAGCATTGGAGATTTTCTTGAGGATGCTACGCGAAGGAATAAAACCCAACTCGTCCACACTGGCTGGACTTCTCAGCACCTGTGCGGGCCTGGGTGCCACTAAGCTTGGCCGCCAGATCCATTGCCTGGCCTTTGAACTGGGTCTGGAGTTGGACATTTTTGTGTGCAATGCTTTGATTACAATGTACTTCAAGTGTGGCTGTGTTGATGCCTTTGGGGTCTTTGATGACATGCCTGAGCGGGACATAGTCTCTTGGAATTCAGTTCTTGCGGGCTGTGCACAGCACGGGTTTGGAAGAGAAGCCTTTAAGGTCTTTGAGCAGATGAAGGCTGAAGGTGTCCTGCCAAACCATGTAACCTTTGTAGCGGTTCTATGTGCTTGCAGTCATGCTGGCTTGGTTGACGAGGGCAGGCACTACTTCAATTCCATGAGTAGCGATTATGGGCTCATGCCATTGAACGGACACTATGCCTGCATGGTGGACCTTCTGGGTCGTGCTGGCCGTCTATGCGAAGCCGAGGATCTCATTAGTGACATGCCAATTGAGCCTGATTCAGTTGTATGGGGAGCTCTTCTTGGCGCTTGTAGAATCCATCAGAATGCCGAACTCGGTAGGAAGGTGGCAGAGAGGCTCTTTCAAATGGAACCTGGGAATTCTGGTAACTACATTTTACTCTCGAACATATATGCATCCCTTGGAATGTGGGATGAAGTTGGAAAGGTGAGGAAGTTGATGAGAGACCGAGGTGTCTCGAAAGAACCCGGATGTAGTTGGACACAAACAAAGAACCGGCTGCAATATTTCGTCACTGGGGACCGACAGCATGAGCAGATTGAAGAGATGCACGCGCTTCTGAAGGAGTTCTACGGAAAGCTGAAAGCTAATGGTTATCTGCCTGAGACCAACTGTGTCCTCCACGATATCGAAGAGGAGCAGAAAGAAAACGTACTTCTCTGTCATAGTGAGAAACTGGCTGTTGCATACAGCCTCTTGAATACACCTAGTGGCACACCAATTCAGATAATCAAGAATCTGAGAATCTGTGGTGATTGCCATACTTTTATCAAGTTTGTATCCAAGGAAACTGGGAGAGAGATTGATGTCAGGGATGGAAATAGATTCCACCATTTTATTGATGGAGCTTGCTCATGTGGAGATTACTGGTGAATAGGTACTTCTAGAAAGTTTTTAACCAGGCATTGGCTTTCTGTGTGCTACTGGACTGGAGATGTGCCTGGAGAAGATTAGTGAAGCGCTATGAAAAGCTGGACTTCCCATCCTCAAATGCTGGCCCCTTACTCCAACTCAGATACAGGTGGGACTATTTACTGCAAAGTCTTTGGCCTCGATTTTAAGCAGTTTTTTTCTTAATGGCAGTGATGACCTCGGTTCTTGTGCCTTTGATTGCATATATCACTGTCCCGCATCAAGTGGAAAAAACTGAGCGTAATGGAGTTATCGCTTGATTTAGGCTTGGTTTGGCAATCCGGTCGATTCTTACAGTAGAAAAATTCAGAGGTTTTCGTGCTGATTATCCATAGCATGCATAATTCTCGTCAACGGAAGAGATCTGCCTTGTAATATTCTGAATCTGTCATGTACGCATGCACGCACCAACACACCCACCAGAGATATATGATGCATGCATGCATGCATGTACAAATGCTACGAGTTTTTCTTCTAAATTTCCATGCTCTGATAAACAGTTGGTAATGAGGACGAAGTAGATTACGGCCAATAATCTACTGTGGACGTAATGCTACGAGATGTGTCTTCCGGTGATGCGGTTCTTCGGAGACGTATGCATGTTTTGCGTACACCGACCCACACAAGCACACGCATTCACGCACGCGCATGATTAACAGAGTTTTGCAGAAAGAAAACCAGTTATCTTTGACAAGGTCGCTGATAATTGATTTATCACATGCTAACCAGCGTGCTATTAGACAGGAATATGCGGAACGTCGTCTAATCCTGGGATCCAAGGACGCGAGAGGCCCATGCTGGCGGATGGTGTCTGGGTTCGCTGGCAAATCACTCTCATAATGGTCGGTTGCCCTATCGAATCTTTTCGAGGCTCACGGAATCGCATAGAAATGGATACTTGGCCTGGAGCGCGAGATGCATCTTCAAAGGAATGCGGTGGGAATGTCGGCTTGGCTCTGGCTTCTTCTGCGGAAAATGGGTTCATCTCAGGGAACCAAGGCTTGCGGGGCTTCTGGTTGCTAGCCGCTTCTGTTGCTTTTTTTCGCCGAGCGCATAACTCCGAATTCCCCAAAGTTACTCCGTGGGGATCGCATCTTTCCGGAGCGTAATCTTCTGGGTTCTTGTGCGACGCCGGTCCATTCCCCTCTTCTTCGCGAGCTATGGAAGGAAGATTCTGCCCTTCGCTGGTGCGCCGAGATTCCAGGAGATGGAATTGAGGGGCAAGTGTTCAGTCAACGACAGGCGATGTCCCTCTTGTGCGTTGGATCGTGTAGATCCGAGGCTTTGTATCCGAATGCATCAGTCTCGTTCAGTGACGACGAACAGCTGCCTGTTGTTCATTCGTTCAGCGATTTTCCTAGTTTTGCTGCTACCTACTCCATCGAGCTGGTTATTTGAATAGCATCCCGAGCAGGCCCCTGAGAGTCGAGGAGCTGCGAAGATAGGTGGGTACGTACGTGCATATCTCTATATACTGCCGAGTCGTGCGGCGGGGGCGCCGGGAAGGGAAAATGGGGCAACTGGTGCGTGCGTAGGGAGGAAATTCACACACATCAAGAAAGGGGGGACTGCTCGTTTCATTGAGCGTCCTACCGCCGATGGCCGGCGAACGAGGAAGCGGAGAGGAGGGCGAAGGCGGGGACGCCGTCCTCCCCAGCTTCGAGCGCCTTCATCCTGCGCGGTTCGTTGTATTATCCTTCCCCAACCCCACCTTTCCTTCAGATTCCGACGCCGAGCTGCTTAGGGTCGCCGTCCTCGACTCGCCAGGCCCGGCACCCGCGCAGACTACGGCCGCCATGCTCGTTCCCGGGGGCCGGGAGTCCGACTGGGTATTCTCCACCGCTGTCGGGCACCTCCAGCTCCTCCTGGCCTCCTCCGCCTCCCGCCTTGTCCTCATCGGCAACGTACCCATCGACGACTCCCCACCGCCCGTCTACACCCGCCGTCAGTCCCTCTCTCCTTCGCAGCTGGAGCAGATCCTGCATCCCCTCCTTCTCGCCCTCTCCCCGAGATTCGCCTTCGAGGGCGGGACCCTCCCCAGTGTGCCCTTCCTCTGCTACGAGGATGGGGTCATACGGAGCAACGTCGTCGAGATCGCCGCAGGCCCCGTGGCGGGGGAGATGGTGGTGGAAGACGTCGAGATCGAGGTGTCCGTCGAGTCCGCTAATCCTCTCGGCTCGTCTTCTCCTCCTCCTGTTCGCCGGGAGCGCCGGAGGAGGCTGAGGTTCAAGAGGATGCCCAACCTCGTGCAGACCCAGATGAGATTGCTGCCGGACACGGCCGCCGGGGGTTCTGGGGGATTTAGGCTTGAAACAGGCGACCTGGTTCAGCCTTACCTCGTCCAGATGGTGGCGGGGCTCCTGCTTGCAGGCCCGTTGATTGACAGGAAAACCCAGCTGGGTCTCAGGCCCCGGGCGCTATGCCTTGGGGTCGGCGGCGGGGCGCTGCTCACATTCCTGGAGTCGCGCCTGGGCTTTGATGTCTTCGGAGTGGAGGCCGATGAGGTGGTTCTGGGCGCTGCAAAGCGGCATTTCGGCCTAGTGGAGGGTGAGTTCCTCAGCGTTACGGTGGGGGACGGGATCGGACTGTTGTTGGAGGATGGCTTCTCTCGAGAGCTCTGCGCGGCTGAATCTGGTTCGGCGGACGCCCTCGCCCCGCAGGGCCGATGGCTTCATCGACGGCAGAGGTTCCTCAACGGCGGAGTGGACGTCATCATGGTGGATTTGGACGCTGAAGACCCAGCGAGTGGCGCCATGGCGCCCCCGCCAGAGTTTGTGAAGAAGGGCGTCATTTCGAGCGTCAGATCTGTTCTTCGCGAGCAGGGGGGACTCCTGGTCATAAACGTCATTCCTCCAAATGCCCCTCTCCGCGACGCGTTGGTCGGCTACCTACGGGAAGAGTTCTCGGAGCTGTACGAAATCGACGTCGGCAATGGCGAAAACCTTGTCCTCCTCGCCACACTGTCCACCCTTGCGTCGGTCGGGGGCAGGAGAGACGGGCCCTTCGCGGAGAATCTACGCCAAATCCTTGGGGATAGGTACGGGGATGCCATCAGGAGGGTCTGAAGGGAGGTGGCGCACTCGAGTCCTTCCCGCTGAGGTCAGAATTTACTGGAGGCAGCGCGCTGCGCGACCTCGGAGTACGCATGCTGCTGATCAGGTTGCAGCTCCCCTCCCCCTCTCCCCCGCCTCGTTTTTATTCTGCGCGCCTTCTCACTTCTGGGCGGAAGAGGATGCCCTAGCAGGGCGATGAGGTCATGTTTCCCTGGGGCCCGCGAAGCGGATTCACAGAGGGCAAACCGCGGGTGGCTCTCTCTCTCCCTTCCCCTCTTCACGGGGGGGTTGCCTTATGCGATTCAATCGAGAACTCTCCCCTGGGAAAAGAAAAGAAAGAGGGAGTACAGAAGACGACGCGAAATGTATAAGAGAAGAACAGAAGGCTCTAAGCGAGGGTCTACGCGCTCTAATTGATTTGCGAGGGTTTCGGTGGGTTGGCTGCCGACGACGACCTTTGCCACGTGGCACTGGCTGCCTAAAATATCAAGGCATCCTCCCGACGCCGCGACGCCTTAAAAAGGGACGCCATAAACCCTACAACCCTTGTTCTCGCAGTCACCGCCGTCCTCTCCGAGAATTCCTACCTGCCTGTTCTGCTCTCTCTAGCCGGCATCCCCTGGTCTCAGCCACCATCAGCCATGGAGTTCTGGGGTGCGTGCTCTCTCCATTTTGGATAGCCGTCGTTCGGGTCTCGTTGTCGTGGTTCCTTCTGGTTTCCATAGAGGTTCTGTTGGAAGGGGTGGGGTGTTGTCTCCTCAGTAAGAGTTAGGCCCCATGCCTGGTCGTTTCGGTTCTTTCGTTGATACATCGAATCGTGAACTGGCTCGTGCAGCTCCCACAGAAGGACTTCCATTGTTATTTTTTCCCCGGTGCTTCTTCTTCTCTTCTCCCCGTAGAAAAAGCCTACTCCCCATTCACTAGAACAATGGTCCCATGCCCTGCTGCGACTTTTCTCCGTCGTTGCGTCGCGTCTGTCTTTCGCTGTCTTAGATTCTTGTTCTGTTGATTACTGTTGATCTTTTGCTTACTTTTCTGGGCTTCCATCCTCGCGTGTTTCCATTAGTAGGATTCTTCTCCTGGTACGCAGGCCATTTTATTGAATCCCCAGTTTTGATTTCCTGCATTCTTTCGGTAATGCTTGTAGTTTTATTAGCTGGCGTATCGAACAGCAGCCTTTTCTGCCTTTCTGCTCTACACTTCGATTTAATTTCCAAGAGATGCCGTGGAATAAGTTTGAAATGTTCAGTATTGAATATGATATCGTCTCTTCCTTTTCGTGTTTCTCCACGGTATGCTTGCCTTCTTCTTATTTTTCAGGCGCGCGTGAAAAATGACCATCATTTAGCATGTCTGACCTAGGCAAGGTGACGCTGAATGATTATTATCTTTGTTTTGAACGTTTATAAGTAAGGGATTTCTGTGAAAGGTTGTTATTTGGTTTCGATGGATAAACTAATCCCCATTTACTCGCCGACATCTTCGCTATAAATAAAATTTAATAGTGACTTAATTGAATTGGCCTATATTAAAATTTACGATGGACGATTTGGTGGCCAAGGTGTTGCGATATACCTTATAGTTAAGGTCTTTTGAAGTATGATTTCTCGCGTTTTTGTATATTCAGATCTATTTGGCATGATGTGAAGTTGACTAAAATCTGTCCACTCTTCAGGTATTGAGGTCAAATCTGGGGAGACTGTCAAGTGTGAGCCTGGTGATGATAAGTTCTTGCACCTCTCGCAGGTTATTATATTCGATGAAATATAGTACTTGTGATAAAAAGGCCCTGTTAGAATTATTATATGGCCTTTTTGATCGTCTCTATGATGTGGATCTTCAGGCCTCACTTGGGGAAACCAAAAAGGACAAAGGGAACGAAAGCATAACAGTCTATGTGAAGTTTAATGATCAGAAGCTGGTGATTGGCAGTCTATCTGCTGAGAAATGCCCGCAGATTCAGTATGATTTGGTCTTTGAAAAGGAATTCGAGCTCTCCCACAACTGGAAGAAAGGGAGTGTCTTCTTTGTGGGCTACAAAACAGTTCTGGATGAGGGATATCCTTTTTATGATCCTGTCTTTTAGGTTGACTTATGTCATAATCATATCTTCTCCCTTATGGTGTTTCCTTGACTCCCCTTTGCTGTTTCTTTTTCCACGCCTAGTGAATTGACAGGTAGGCTTTTTTTCACTTTTTTTTTCTGGGAAAATCATTCGGTGTGAACTTATTAATGTGTTCTTCTCACACAGATGATTCTGAATCTGAGTCTGAAGAGGAGATTGCTGTCAAGAACGAAGCCAATGGTATGCTGCTTCTATAATCAGTAATTGAAATGTCCGATTTATACTGCTTCCAGACCGATATCTTTTCTTATTCTGTGGACAGATGTTTTGTCATTATCGTTTTCGGAACGACTAGCAGCTTTTTCTGTAACTTTAGAATATTTTGACATAACTGTGGTATTCGTGATGTGGTTTCAGAGTTTTCTGCCCATTCTTTCAACGTAAATGTGACTATAGCGCGTTTGGCAATAACACAGTTTGCAGATGATTGCTGGTAGATTATTGTAGACTTTTCCCGAGGTAATTGTTGTGTCATCTTTCTGGCATTTTGCTTGCGTAACCTGGTGATATTGTTTTAAGGTCGTCTGGCAGTTTCGGAGATAACAAAGTCATATTTGAGTCATGTATGGTTTTCAGAGTGCCTTGAATTTGCATGTATATTATTCCCTATTTTCTGACACCCCCAAGATCCAACCTGTGTGCCATGATACTCTATACAGTCCTCTGATTCATTTATCATCCTCGTTTTTGGTCATAGTTTTGTATCTTAATGTCCATATCTCGTGATCTTGTCTAATTTCTATTAATGTTTTTCGTGCTAAATGGACTTGTTTCTTGAAGCATTTTTTCTAACATGTGTCAGGGAAACCGGAATCTTCAAATTTATCGGCAAAACCAAAGGTGAACGCTCCTAAAACTGGTGTAGCCAAGCCAAGTATTAAGGCGGAAGAAGAGAAGAAGGTGAAGAAAGATGATGCGGATAAGGATTCTGGTTCCGATGATGATGAAGACGAATCAGATGAAGATGATTCTGATGATGCGGTATGAGTAACTGGGTCGTGTAGAGGATTTGAATATTTAATCGTATTAATATGAGTGTTTATTATAATTATTTAATTTGCCATCCTTTCTTAAAGCTTTGTCATCCTCGGGTCGGCCTTTTTTTCTCTGCGGGTTCAGACAGGACCTGGCTTTTCCACCCTTCTGATCTGATTTATATGGCCGTTTTTATTGCCAATACTATTGTTAAATGTAAATACAATACTCTGTCCTTCATTTGATTATCTTCGCCATCTTTTCATTTGGAGAGCGCATCTTCTTTAGCGGGTTCGAGTGTCTTTCCAAAATCGTGCGCGTAATATTTGAAAGATGTAAAACTGTTGTATTTTTTCCCACCATGTTTTGAGCCGCTGTAATTGTCGTACAACTAATCCGTAGTGCCCCAGCTTCAAAACCATTCTACACCGTCCAAAGACGTGATAGGGTTCCGGCAAACATGACGCCGCATGTTCCAAACCTCTTGCAGGACATGCTGGATGGTGAGGGTGACAGCAGCGATGATGAGAACGATGAAGACGATAGTTCAGATGAAGAGCTAGATGCTACCCCAAAAGTGAGTATCCTCTTGCCTTTTTTCCTTTCTGAAAGGCTCTTGTTCCTTTCTGATAATGTTTTCCGTGCTAAATGGACTACTTTTCGGGTTCTCTCGCTTGCATCTACGCATTTATTTAATTAGTACTTCTGCCAATTTTATGTCTGCTGTTAAGGGTCACCAATCAATCCACATTTGCAGGCCGAAGTAGGGAAGAAGAGGCCTGTAGAATCTGCTTCAAAGAATACTCCCGCCGCTGAGAAGAAGACCAAGCTGATGACGCCAGTGGGCAGTCAGAAAACTGGTCAGATATGGACGCCCCTCCTCTTTCCTCCAGTTCATCATCGCACAATCGCTCGCATGTGCTGGAAGCATCATCCGCGTTTACTGTGGTATTGCAGGAGGCGGCGACACCAAGAAAGGAGGCGGGCACACAGCGACCCCGCACCCTGCGAAACAGGGAGGGAGGACGCCTCCGACCAACGACAGAGCCAAGCAGCCACAGACCCCAAAGTCCGGCGGCGGATCGGCTCGTTTCAACAACAATAAATCTGGTGGCAAGTAAGAATCGACTGCTTTGAACGCCCCCCCGGCGTTTGGATTTTGCTCAAATCACAACGTTAGGCATGTTTCATTTAACTGGTCCATCCAATGCAGGAATTTCAAGAACAGCAACTCTAACAGGAACAAGCAGGGCGGCCGGTGAAAATGCTCGTGTCGTAGCGGACTGCGGGCCACTTCTGAAGATGCGACGGACGACGGTGAGCTGTAGCGACACATGAATGCCGCGGCAGGCTCTTCGCTTTTTTGGTGTTACTACTTTTATTTGTTTGGACTGTGTCGTGTCCGTCGGAGGAACGAATGAACTTCTACTACATATGCGGTAGGCCTGTTGCCACCAATTACGCGTTGCTACATTCCGTTAGTTGGATGAGTACAACTGCGTCATATTAGCTCTCTCATGGCGCGTCAGTGGCTCGGCCGGTCGTCGGCGTACTAGTGCGGTTCCAACGGGTTACAACACGGGAGTAGAAGTTCCAATCGCGGTGCGCCGTGGTGATGGGCTCCTGCCCAAGTGAATGAGAGGCGACGTAGGAGGGTACCTCCGCGTCTGCCGCTGCGAGGCCTTCCAGAAAGTTCCTGATTTCGCCTCCTGGCCCTACATCGATGACGACTAGAGTGGTCATGAGAAGAGTAGTGGTATGAATGAGTACAGACGTGACGGAGGGGAGAAGGAACTTGCTTAGGTCGGTGTCCTCGGTATGGCTCGCCTCGTAGGGCTTGGGAAAGATGGCGGTGTTGGGCTGGGGGGAGGGGAAATAGTGATGGGCGACCGAGTCAGCGTATCCCATAAGTCGGCCGGAAAAGAGACAAAGAGAGCGTGTAGCAGCCGGCGCTCACCGGGTTGAGCAGGGCCTTGTAGGGCGTGTCGTCCACTAACAGGGTGTTCTTCGGTGAGAAGCTCCGTCGCTCGTCCCAGAGCTTCCCCAGCTCCTTCATGAACAGGGGCTTGTTCTCGTTCTCTAATGTCTTGAACCCCGTGTCCGTGCACTTGCTCTGATCCTGTGGCACCAGGAAGAGAAAGAATACCGCAGAACCACCACGTCACTCAGCCTTCCGGTGTTACAGAAGAGTATGGGGTTTGTGGCTTGTCCGCAGGATCAGGAGGGCTCACCCAAATGAAGAGGAGGCGGTCTACGAGGGCCCCCAAGACGCACTCGATGGTGCCCAACACGTTCCTCCTGGAACAAAGAATCCCGTTGAATTCCCAGCGAGGAAGAGAATCGGCGGTCCCTCTATGTTTCGCATCAGAAGAACAGACAGCGCGCACGCACCTCGTTGCGCTCGACCAAACGGCCACATGGAAGCTCGCGAAGCAGAAGCGAAGGAACTCGTCGCAGAAAGGACGCTTGAAGACTGGCTCGGATATCGACAGGGAGGGGCGAGAACGAGCCGATGGAGACGCGACACAATAAAAAATTATATCATTACCAATCATCATCATATTTAAGAAACACATCACCCACCGTATTTTCGACCGACGATGAAGTCTGGTTCCCGGGAGCTGGGGACGCTGGTGATGTCTCCTCGGCTCTGGAAGATGGTGTGGACAAGCAACCCGTTGAGGTCAAGTATGAGTAGCTTCTTGCCGCCGGGGGGGGAAAGGCCCAACCTCTCGATGCGAATGGCCAGGTCATCATCTTCTTCGGATGCCGCTGGAGCCTTGCCACCCCCACGCGGAGGTCCTTCGGGGCGAACAGAAAGCGCCGACATGGTGTTGCTTTTCTACCTGTGAACCACCTCACCCCTTCCTCGCACGATGGCGCCCCCCTATTTGTAGAGGGCGACTCCCACCGAAAGTCTACGGGAAAGACGACGCCTACAGCGCACGACGCCTGCAGCGCACGACGCCTGCAGCGCACGTCTCTGCCGTAAAGATTGGAAAGGACGCGCGGGATCTTTGTTGACCGACCGACCAGCGCGGGATCTTTGTTGACCGACCGACCGACCGACCACGCTGCATTGTCTTGCCGCTTTTCGGAGGGCACTGAGGTGCTCCGCCGCCATGGTCCCGATAGGGCGGAGGGATAGATTGAGGTGGGTTGGACAAGCTCCTTAGGGAGTGAGAAAGCCTGTTTTGGCTTTCTCATATTTCTATTCAACTCGCTATGCATCCTCAACCTAATTCTTTGCGCAGCCTCATGGAATATGAGACCAGGGAAACAGAAAGGGGCAACTTGGTTCAACCCTCGGAGGTGGCTTCTGAGGGCAAGGCAGTTGCTGAAGAGGCGACCCCAGGGAGAAGAGGAGGGAGCAGCTGTGGTCGTGGCCCACCAGTGATAGGCAGTTACGTGACAAAGAATTTCCCCGATGGGGTGAGAACCCTCCTCGGGAAGGTCGTTTCCAGTGGAGGTCGATTCTTTGCGGCCGTCTATGAAGATGGTCGCCGGGAGGAGCTCGAACTCTGCGAGATTCGAAGGATGCTACTACCATCTCCTGTGGACGACGCTTTGGAAGAGGAGCTGGTGCTCAGGAAGAGGAAGCTTGAGGAGATATTGTCTGGGGGGGGGACGTGCGCCCGGTCGAGCAGGAGGAAGGTTGACCCATTGACAGCGCGGGCTTCAGCTGCGGCGGCGACCACTGCCGAGGGAACGGAGAGAAGAGGCAGACATCTTTCTGGTTTGCTCGTCGAGGAGGATGTCGATTCTTCTACCGATTCTTGTGAATCCATCAGTGCCCCGACTTGTAACCCGGCGTTACCGCAGTCCATGCCATTGCAAGCATTAGCCCTGCCCCCTTCTTCCGGTAACATTGGCATCCCAGAGGAATCTGTCGGATGCCTTCTCTCCGTGTACAGCTTCCTAAGGACGTTCAGTACGCAGCTGTTTCTTAGCCCCTTTGGACTCGACGATTTCGTTGGTTCACTCAACTGCATCAATCAGAACTCGCTTTTGGACTCCATCCACGTTTCACTGATGAGAGCTCTGTGGCGTCATCTTGAGGTTCTTTCCTCTGACGGTGATCAGGCTGCTTCGAGATGCTTGAGGTGTGTGCCGCAAATTTCGTCCCCTGCCTATCTTCATTACATCATTTCCATGGTTTGTCCTGCATTCTGTCCTTTTCTGCTAATAAATGTTAGAGTTCGGCAGGTATTTTGATTGGACAATGCTGGACACCCTGACTTGGCCAGTCTTCGCGCTGGAATATTTCTACTTGATGGGTTGCATTAAAGGCCCGGACTGGAAGGGATTCCGATACGGCATTACAGATAAAGAATACTGCAGTTTGCCTGCCACCATGAAGCTGAGGATTCTTCAGATCTTGTGTGACGCCGTTTTGGAGTCTCGTGAACTAAGAAGTGAACTTGAGACGCGGGAAGATATGGATGAGGAAGGGGAATACTTCACTGGCATCAGTCCCCCTCAAGCTAATTTGAGGATGGTGCATTCCAGATATTTCAGGACTCCCACTCGCAGGGACTTGCAGATGTTGGATGGTGCCATTGCACCTGAGGAGTCCACTTCGAGCTCTAATAATCTGTCCACTGACGCAGATATGCCTAATCCTTCTAATGATGGGAACTCTGACGAGTGCCGGCTTTGTGGAATGGATGGAACCCTAGTATGCTGTGATGGTTGTCCGTCAGCATACCACTCGAGGTGCATTGGATTGATGAAAGCTTCTCTACCTGATGGGCCGTGGTATTGCCCTGAATGTGTGGTCAACCAGATTGCACCCACTTATGCCAAGATTGGAACGGGGATTAGAGGAGCAGAAATGTTTGGCACTGATCCGTATGGGCGGGCATTTATGGGCACTTGCAATTACCTCCTTGTGTAAGTCACTCATGCTGCTGGTGCCTACTATCTTTTCTTTGATTATCCTTTACTTTTTTTATGCTCTACTCTGAGTTTCGTGGATAAAAAGGTGATTTTGTTTGGTCATGTGAGGGAACTCATAGCTTGCTTACCAAGGCTAAAGTTTAGTGCGGACTAAGGTTTAACTCATTCTGTACCTAGTTTCCATATGCATCCATCCTTTTAAGAAGAACATAATTTTTTTTGTTGTTGCTTGATTTAGGAAACTTGTGTGGCTGTCTTTCAGTTAGTAGCTGCCTAAGGGTCCTTTTCCTTGGTTCCATTTTACCGTGGCATTTCACCTTATCTTATGAAGTAACCCCACCAAGCTAATCAATTGCTCTTATCGCTGCTGTCTAAGGCTTCCTTGTTCTCATGATGGTGTGAAAAGACCTAATTGAAACATGAAAATCAGGCCAACTTCCTATTTAGATTAGCTGTGGCATTGTCTTGAATGCGGTTATTGCTGTATGTGTTGTAAATTACTTGTTAGATCATTAAACCCATTGTCTGTGTTCATACGCCAATAATGCTGAGTAGAATTTTCTCATGCATTGTTGATGCTCACCTATCATTGTCTTCTCTCACGAGTCATGAGATTCATCATCAATACGTTCGAACTGTTTCTGGAGACACTAAAACGCCTTTGTTTTTACCTCACTGCCTGTTATCTTTGAATATTCTAAAACTATGCTAATGCTTTGTTTCGATAGTTCTTATAAAAACAATGATAATGATCATTCTCACCTCTCAAGGTTTCCTCTCGAACTTTCCACTGGCTTACTTTATTTTTTAGGCATGGTGTCATTTTGACTCCTTTTTGTTTTGTCTTGTCATTTATGTATAATTTAATGGCAGCCTTGAAGCATCGTCAAATATTGAGCGAGTTTCTCGATATTATGATCAGAATGATGTTCCTAAGGTTCTTAGGTTGGTTTGCTCGGCAGAGGAGTATTCATCCCTGTATGCTGACATTTGCAAAGAAATCGCAAAACATTGGGCGGTTCCTATGGATGAAAATTGCTTACAACCTGAGCGAAATGGTTCTGCTGTTACCCTTCAGAAGCAAGATTCTAGAGGAGTGAAATTTTTGTGTGACTCAGCTGGAAAAACAGATATTAATATAAATGCTGACAGAGAAAATGTTAGTACTATAACTCGGAGTACTGTAGATAACAGGGCGCTGTCAAATCTTGATGGTGATTTAGTGCGAGTTGTGGTCAATGACTCAGATTCTGTAAACCAAGTGGATCTTTCAAAAACTAAGATGTTTTTCAAGGAAACTTTTGACAGCTATGTCAAAAAATTGACAGAAAGAGCAAATGATGCTGTGACCGTTGTGAGGCGCAACCAGTTTTGTTCTGCAATTGCAGATGATGTAGGACAAAAGGTTCAGGAATGTTCACATGAAAAGTCACCTCAGCGGATTGAAAATGAGTCTGGTTTATCTTTCAGGTCGTTTAGTCAGCCAACTGGTCTCACTGATTTGATCCACCAAAGATCTAATGACAAATCTTCAATGTTAAATTTTGGGTGCACTTCACGAAATGGAAATGTTGCCTTCAGGGATGATGCAGATAGTCAAGTTTTAGCTTCATATGGCGATCGAACCAGGATGTCTCATGGTAGCTTAGTGGACAATTGTGTTCATGGTGGGAAAAGTAGAGAAGAGACGAATGGGAACTTGATCTTGGGAATTGTGTTCAATCCTCAAGCTTATTCCAACCAGTATGTACTTGGTGATGTTGCTGCATCTGCAGCTGCAAGTCTGGCTTCTCTTGCTCTGGAAGAGAGTACGTCAGTGATTCATGCATCATACAGCCACCGGAAGGTTGTATCTGCTAACATAGCTATGCAATTGAAAGCCTTTTCTAGAGCAAGCATGCGTTTTATATGGACAAATTCTGAAAAGAAGCTTATGGAGAGTCCACGTGAAAGATGTGGTTGGTGCATTGCTTGCAAGGGAGCAACTATCAACAAAAAGGGCTGCTTGTTAAATCTAGCTTCTGCAAATGCTGCAAAAGGAGCTGTCAGAGGCCAGGCAAGTAACCGTCCAATAAGGAAGAGTGAGAGCCACATATCAGCCATTGCAACCCATATCTTGAATATGGAAGAGCATTTGTATGGTCTAATTCTTGGGCCATTCGCTGATGCCAAATATAATAAACGGTGGCGCATGTTGGTCAGAGAGGCTTCAACGTGTGGGGTCCTGAAGTTACTGCTACTTGAGGTGAGTTTACTCTTCTTAAATGGCCATAGCTGTATTTTTTGTTGGGTTGTTTGTCGTGCATGAATATACACATATAACCTGCAGTTTTGTGGTTTCTCTTTTAAAACCACAGCAAATTCATGAGCTACAATCAGTTTCAAAATGGAGTAGAAGCTTACAGATCACATCTTAGAAATCATCAAGATTCTTGTCATGAATAATCACGTACCATAGAGAATAAATCAAAATTTCAACTTGACCCAGTTTTAAAAATTTCCAGTGCGGCCTAATGAAATCTGATTCGAATTCGGTTTGACTTGTCACATTATGTGTAAACAATGTTTTTAGCAGCATTGGGTTTAATGCCCTCCCCTCCATTGAAATGCAATCTCTAAGGTTTACATTTTGTGAACCACGCATGAATTAGTTAGGGTAATTTTAATTTTGGTCTGCGTATGGTATCCAAGTGGCTTTGTTGGAAAAATAAAAGGCGTTTGAAGGGTTGTTTTCTCGTTTTCCACAGCTCTAATTCTTCTCCTTCTCTGGATCTTTGGCTAAGACCTGACATTGATTTATTTTCACTCGTTAATATCGTAAAGACATCAGATCTTGAAAATTTGCGCAACTTGAATATCTGAATTCGATGTTACAAGTAGGATTAAACTCCTTCAGCAACTTGATGTAAAAACTTTTACAATCTTTAAAAGCGTGTTTGCTAGGACATCAGTTCAACTGCTTGGTTTCTCAAACTTGGGGATTCGAGTTACCAAAACTTACTGAGATTGGTGAGAAGGCTTAGTGTTGACAACGAGGGTGAAAACTACCGAATAACAAGTTATCATTTCATATCTATTCCACATGGACGTGAACATTACCTTCCTATGACAATACACACAAGATATGTAAGATTCTGTTCTCTGAACGGTTGTGTACACATAAAAACAATGCGGGGCCTGGATCAAGTGGCGCCCAGACTTGTATGGAAGCTTAGTTCAACTGCATGTCGCAGTGGCAACAAGCTGCTGTTGTTCCTACTATTCTGGGTGGAAGAAAAATATGGTCTGCAGCAATGGCAGTGTTCCGAATACTATTATGATAAATCTGTTTCAATCAGATGATTGTATGGCTAAGATTATTTGTGCATTTGGTTCAATTTACCTGTAAAGAATCCTACCTTCTGTAATTCAATTTGCAGTCCTAATTGGGCTTAGGCTTAAGATTATTGTTCTTTTCTCTATCAACTGGCAAGATGGAAGACCAAACGATGGTTGATCGTAGGTCCATTGGTTTGCAAGGAAATGATGCAGTAGGTGTTGTACCTTAGTTATGTGCAAGAGAACCGTGTCCATTCTGTTCCAGGGGATCCTTCAGACCTTTATCCTATATTGCAAACAACTCGTTTGAAATTTACAATGGGATTTGTAATTTCAGCGTGGTCAACAAGTTAGTAAACAGGATGGTTCAGTTAGTATCTGACAGAAACTGAATTTGGAAACAAATCCGGATGTTGTTAGTTGATGTCAGACTAAATTGCATTGAGGGCACCTGTGAACAATACAGGTCCCTTTTCCCTGTGTGACTGGTTTCCCCCTAAATTTATGACATTTGACGCAGATTTATTCTTGACTGTTTTTTTCTGCTCTAGCCGACTTTATATTTATTTTTGGTTTGAATGTGCTGTTGCCTTTTCCCCATCTCTTCTTCTCCTTATGACTGTTTTTTCTGCTCTAGCTGATTTTTTATGTTCGTTTCGAATTATGAACGTACATAAACATAGCTCATCTGCCTCTGTATTTGTTCTCTTTTCGATCATTAACATTGTATTCTGTTTTCTGCAGCTTGAAAAGAACATTCGTGGTATTGCTTTTTCTGCGGACTGGTTTATGCTCTTTGATGATTGGCTCGTTGAGTTCCCAGCAGCTCATGCTAGAAGAGGTGTTGTTATGCCGATACAGAAGCGTGGACCTGGGAGACCGAGGAAGACACCTGCAGCATCTGAGACAACGCTTTTGCCTGAAGTGGAAAGCTCGAATGATATCTATTGGTGGCGGGGGGGGAGAGTTTCGAGGATACTCTTCCAGAGAGGGATATTGTATCGCTCACTAGCTAAAAAAGCTGCTCGTCAAGGTACAAATTATTGTTAGATCACAAAATTCTTTCCTAGTTAATAATCGTTCGCTTGATCAACCATGGCAATTTTCATTAATCTGGATTCATTAGGAGCTGTTTAAGCTTCGGAGGAGTTTTGAGCAAGGTGTATATATTTGGTTGGATTGCCTTGGAATCACCCAACATAAGTTAGCTTGTCTGGAAGTCCACTCTTTGTTCATCTTTTGTGATGTTTGAATGTTTTTGTGGCATATCTAGATCCCTGTCTGAAACATGACGAGTTGGACTTATGACAGCCATCCAAAGTGCTATAACAAAAAAATAATTATCTGAGTTTAGTGTCCGGTTTCGGTCAATCATGTTTTAAATAACGTCTTGACTTGATCGCCTCATATCAACCATTGCATGGCCCTCCCTTGATATCTTAGGCATTCCAATCTTGATGCCTGCTACCATCTCAAGTATGCATCGTACTGCTTCTTCCTCCACCTATTTCTCAGTCACTGTCACAGAAAATGGCCTAGGCAAGGGCCCTTCTTTGTCCCTGCATCTCTTCCTCTGTGCTGTTTGACCTGCTTATTTGCAATCTCTCTCTCTCTCTCTCTCTCTCTCTCTCTCTCTCTCTCTCTCACTCTACGCGCCCCCCCTCTCCCAATTGAGATGTTTATCATCTCTCCTCCTTTGCCTGTTTGACCTTGCATGATTATGGTCGGCCCCATGTGTCCTCCGTTCCCTCCTACTCGATTCTTCTTCCCCATTGCCTCTTTCCTTGAATCCCCCCCTTCCTTACAGAAGTATGTTGAGAAGTTGAAGCTTGCTTCCCTACTTTGCAACTTACTCAAGATGTTAGTGGTAGCGTGAAGAGGGGGTGGGTCAGCTAAGGCATAAGATACTTTTTCCACGTTTGCATCATGCGCAATGGTGGTTCTATATATGAATGTCTCCGTGGTGTTGCTTTTATTTTTCACATGTTGCATTGATAACCTGGATTATGCTTTGTTCTGAATATTTTCTGGCTGCTCTTAAAGGTGGTCTGAAATGTATCTGGGGAATCAACTACTCTTGGAACTTAAATAATCCTAGGACTAAGCAGTTTGCTTGGAGAGCTGCTGTGGAAATGAGCAGGAGTGCAGCTCAGCTTGCTCTCCAGGTCATTCCTTTGTCATGTCTTCGAGAAATGCTCATTCTTATTTGAAAAAATGATGATTTTTCCGTGGTTAACCTTTTTTCTGATTGCGACTGTATCAGGTCAGGCGTCTTGATGCTCACATAAGATGGAAGGATCTTGTTCGTCCGGATCTAATGCCTTCAGAGGGTAGAGCAACAGAAAGTGAAACTTCTGCTTTCAGAAATGCAGTCATCAGTGGGAAACAGGTGGTGGAGAACAAAATAAGATATGCACTGGCTTTTGGTGGACAAAGGCACCTTCCTTCATGCGTGATGAAAAATGTCTTGGAAGTTGAGACTGATCAGGATGGAAAGGAGAGGTTGTGGTTTTCTGAAAATAATGTTCCGCTGTATCTGATAAAGGAGAACGAAGAGAATGGAAAAGGTGTTACATTGGTCACCCATAAGAAAGTTACTCGAAGATATTTACCAGAATTTCAGAGACGGCAGCTAAAATCCTTTCGGAGGGATATTTTCTCGTATCTCTTTCATAAGGTGGAGAGGCCAATCAGGTGTTCCTGTGCTTCATGCCATCGTGATGTGCTAGTCGGGTATGCTTTCTTACTTCTTGATTCATGATAATAACTCTTTGGACATGCGAGTTTCTGACAGGTTCTCACTTCTTTTGTCTAATTTTCTGTCACCAGGGAGGCTGTCAGGTGCAGTGCTTGTCAAGGTGATCTTTCTCCAGCCCACAATTTTCTTCTGTATTTTTTGCTTTGGCCTGCTGAAGGCTAATGATAACTGTAAAAGAAGCTAAAACATTTTAACTTCCTAATTTTGCGTTATTAGGTTATTGCCACAAGACGTGCCTCGTACATTCCTCTGCTTACATGAAAGTTGATCCAGAAGGCGCTCCTCTGTGTAACCAATGCAACGTCGCCCTGTGCTCAGTAGTCGTCAAGAAGGGAGAGTGTGTAAATGGTCAGATGTCTTCTCTGAAAATAACCCAGTCCGACAGTACGGTGGAGAAATATTATGGCTGCCCCATCCCGTTTCCAGCCGTTCTCAGCCCGGGCGTGCAATCCAAGACGCGACCTCGTGCTTCGAAGTCGGAGCCAAGACATAGACGATCAGTGTTTCTCAACCATGGCCTTGTATGGAAGAGAAAGAATGATGTTGAAAGCGGTGAGCAGTTCAGGCTCAGGCACATCATCCCTAGAGGTGGTGGGGACAGTGATCCTCTGAGAAGGCCCATCTGTACCCTATGTTTTAAGGATTACAATCCGTCCGCAGTGTACATCCGCTGCGAGAAATGCTCACGTAAGGCTATCGTGCGAGATTCCACTTGTTGCCTGTACGTGGACTTTATATCATCCTCTCACCGGTGTGGTCTGTTATTTCATTTCTTCTGCAGATTGGGTACATGCGGATGCCGTGTTGCTGGAGGAAGACCAAATGTCGAACTTGATAGGTTATAAATGCTGCAAGTGTCGCAGGAAAAGCTCACCGAGGTGCCCTTATGAAGATCCCAACTACAAGAAGCCAGAAAGAAGCCAAAGCGGTGTGGCGCTGTCATGGTCTCAGGGCGAATTGCAGCTTCCGAAGCCTATTGGGGTCGGACAGGTGCATCACCTGTCCTCAGTCAATGGAGTCGGATCTGTTGCAGAAGTTATGCTGGTGGCCGCCGAGCAGGGACTGGATTTCAGGGTTTCTCCGGGGCGAACATGCCCAGAACGCGTTCATCCGGTGGCTGAGGATCAGATATCAGAGGCCTATGCCTTTTATCCGGCGCAGGAGGCCCCTAGACCGCCATTTTCACAGCAGAGGGGCTCAAGCACTCCCGGAATGGCCTTCTGCAGCGTCGAAGACGCCAGTGCTGCACATCTCGGAAACCAGCTGCTCAACTCGGCGGGAGTGAAATTGGAAGACATGGAATCGGAGCCTCCACAGACCTACTTCTCATTCACAGAGCTGTTGGCTTCTGAGGATGACCACCTGGACGAACTGCTGGATATGCCGATTGGTAACGTCTCAGGCAGCTGGGCGGAAGCCAATGCGGACGCCAGGATTGTACCCCAGGGCATGGCCATGGACACCGATGCTGGGAAAGGTATGGAGGAGCCGGTTGCCAGTCTTCCTGCCGTCGGTGATGTGCCTTGCCAGAGATGCGGCAGTAGCGACCCCCCTGGGGACCTCACTTGTGAAACCTGTGGACTTAGCGTGCATCGTGCTTGCGCGCCGTGGACCGCGGCGGCCGACACATCTGCCGGCGGTCAATGGAAATGCGTTGGCTGCCGGGACTGGGAATAGGTCTTGATCGGTCTTCATCCAGTCAGATGGTGAAGGCGCGGCATTGTCTGCAGGGAGACTGGCGGCGAGGTTGGGCGAGGCCCAGAGACTGCTAGGGTGTGTGGCGGCAGGCGTGCGTTTGTCAGCGCCAGCGCTGATCTGGATGGAGAGTGAAGGCCACTGGCTTCGATGGACAGTAATTTTTGCAAGGCCAATGCCAAATACCAAGTTTTACCAAGTTTTGGGTTAGAGAATCATCTTTTTGTTTTAATACATCCCTGATCATTTGTCTGGAGACCGGGGAGAGGGACAGGGACATTTTCTCACTCTCCTCTTGCGTTCTAACGCTCACATGTTGGTCAGTCGATCAACCTGATGGTGTATAGGGGTGACGGGGTGCTGGGGTCACCCTTGTGTTAATATGTGATGCTAGTCAGAATCTTACCCCGCCGCATTCGGACCGGGTTAGTTCCCCTGGACTCTCTCTGTCTGCCTCTGTCTGTCTCTCTCTCTCCTTTCAATCAATTTACCTCCTAGATGCATTATAAACAGGATAATTACAGCAGAAAAATCGTCTGAAAAATATAAATAACTAATCTAATGACACGCTCTCTCACGCCGCAGAAGCTGACGGGCCGTCGTGGCTCGTGGCGTTTTTGTGGATGTGGTCCACGGCGCCGCCATTGCCTTGGCAGGCGAGTTCGAACTCCTTCTGGCGGAGGAGGAGGAGCATCCTCTCGTTCTCGAGGCTGAGACGCTCGTTCTCAAGCTTCACCCGCTCCATCTCCCGCTCCTTGTTCCCGCTGAAGCGCAGCCACTTGAACCGCTGCTTCTCCAGCTCCAGGGCCCGGCGCCCGCAGTTCACCCGTCGCTCCTCCAGCTCCACTGCCCGCCAGCTGAGCCACTGCCGCTGTTGCTCGGGCGAACCCGTCAGGGAGGCCAGCTCGCCCTTCAACTGCTGCTGTGACGAGGAAAGGTGAAAGAAGGGCGACGATGAGGAAGACCTCCTCTGCCTCTTAACCCCCGCTCCCGTGGACCCATCCTCATCGTCTCCATGTGCACCTTTCCGATGCTGTCGCAATCCTCCACCCTCCGTCACTCCTCCGTTATGCTCCTCGTCCTCGTCGTCCTCGTCGTAGTCGTCGTCCTCATCCTCATCTTCTTCATCGTCGTCCTCGTCCGCCCCCATCCCATCATCCTCTCCTCGCTCTCCTGCCATCTTATCCGACGACGTAGTCATTATCTTGAGAGCAGTGCCAACCTCCTCCCCAACCGCCATAAATTCCGGTGCGCCGCTAATGTCCGTGAGGTGGGAACATTGTTGCTGATGCAGGCTGTACGGATCGGAACCCCCGAAAGCTTCGCACGACTGGTGATGAGGCTCCAAGGTTGAAGCGGAGGAAACAGCTTCGCCCGCCGAGCTCGCAGCGGCGCAGCTTCTATGGTAGGCGCACATCTCGCGGAAGAAGAGGTGCTTGGAATTAAGGAGCTTACGGACCTCCTCCTTCGCCTTGGGGGAGAGGTGGTCCATGGTGTCGAGGAGGGCCTGGTTCTCCACCACCCGGCATGCTGTGCCCCTACCGAGGATGTCGTTGACGCGCTTGTAACGCTTGTTCAGGTCATTGAACTTGTCCTCGCACTGCTGTGGTGACACGTAATGTCCCTTCTCCATCATCGCCCGCGACACCGACTTCCACTTGCCTTTCTTTTGCTGCTGCTGCAGCACCGCCGTGCAAGCCGTTGGTCCGCCCTTCTTCCCCAGCTTGTTGCCTTGATGGTGGCCACCGCCGCCGCCTCCGTCGGGCCCGCCCTCGTCCCCGACGCAGTAGACCACCATGATGAGAAGTCTCACCATGGCATCCGTCCACTTCATCCTCTGCCACGGGGAGGGCGTTGACGAAGCGGACACCCCAGGCTGCGACTGCTGTCTCACCGCCAAGTCCATGCCGACGTCCTCACCGAAGGCGGCGGAGGGCTCTTCGTCCGGGCTTGGCGCTGGCTTCACCTTGGCGCCACCCCCAAACGAGTAGGTGTGTTTGGATGCGGCGGCAGCATTATGATCGGCATCGGCGAGGTGGGCCTGATTCTGGTGAAGTTGGGAAGGGAACAGCAAAACCTGGCGGTGGTGGTGGTGCTGCTGCGTCGGGGGCGGTGCCGGAATCTGGTGGTGCGCCTGGTGCAGGGGCATCTCAAGACCCAGGATGCCTGGAATCATTCCCTCGGCTAAGCCATTTCCCTCCATCGCGCGCAGAACCTTTTGTTGCCCCGGTGTTGGCGGAACGGACCCCCTTTGTCTGATGCCTTAGCCTTAGCCTTCTTGTTCCTCGATCACAGTTGAAGTTGCTTCCTTGCTCTATCCATGTGCCGAAGAGAAGCAGAAAGATCGACGTTTCTACCGGAGCGGCTGGGTTATAATAGCGAAACGAAGCGAGGCTTCCGCCGGAGGGGAAGGTCAATCTCCGCCGGAGCCACTGGGTTAAGAGAAAACCGGGAGGAGCTCTACCAGGGGGCGGGTTTATGACAGATGAGTCGGCGGAATCGGCAACTTGTTTTGTTGTGGGGCCCGCCTCGCTGGTTGCGGCGCCGCTGTTCAAGATTTAGAATCGGTGGGTTTGACTCCGCCTTCCTGCTGGCACCTCGTCAGCTAAGCGTGGTCCGGGCTAGGTCAGCCGCGTGACCGGTTTCACAACACTTGAGGCGCCCAAGGTTTTGGTCACTTTACGACCACCAGGAGGCAGCAGATTTTTTATTTGTTTTTCAAACTTGGAGCCCAGTGGGCGTAAACTTGATGATCTTTTAGGATTGAGAGACAATTCCGACCGACAAAAGGTTGAAGCCAGATATGAAAAACTATGTTGTCCGACCGACAAAAGGTTGAAGCCAGATGAAAAACTGTCTCAACTACGGATGCGGGGTTCCATTTTTCGCGTCCCATGACCAGTCCATCCCTCTCTCTTCTCTCTCTCTTGCCCGCCCACCGGCCCCCAAACGATATATCGATGTGGACATGTATATGTTTGTGTGTTACTAATGGAGACAAGAGACCTCGATATCTTGATGTATATATATGTGTTAATGATGCCCGCATGTGTAAGTGTGTGTTTAGCGCGGGGGGAAAAAAATGAAAATCCCTCTCTCTCTCTCTCTCCATTTATAACATATTTTGCTTCATTCTACAACATGTGCATATGTGAGGGTGGAGTTCCGATCCACACTTCAATTTGTCTAGGGTGGGCGTATCTTAAGGTAATTTTTCAAGCGAATCACCAAATGATGATAACTTATAGCATCTACTTAAATCATGTAAAATCTGAAGCTATTAAAAAAACTACTCAGCATCAACCTAAATAAACTCTGAATCAACTTTAATAATGTTAAGTTCCTAAAATAATGTATTTACTCATATGTTGAGCCAATAATATTTTATCTATCTTTGAAATAATTATTGACAATGATTGACTAACATATGACATTAATCAACGAAATTGAGAATATCAATATCGAATTTAACATTACAATTCTATCTCATTATATTCTGAACTTTCAGAGTCACCTGATCTTCACAGGTAGAGGAAGATGGTTGAACGAAGAAGGATGGTTTTACAAGAGTCTCAGACGAACCCACACACGTCTTGTTGACTGGTTCCAATGTTTCCAGAAGGGGCATAAAAAGTGCTGATGACGTCGGAAGATGAGGAGAGGGTTGAAGGATTGGCATGCGGGAGAGAGCGGCAGTAGATGGATGGGCAGACAAAGGGATCGTCGAAGAGGATGGACGTGCTCGTCCAGAGATCAGAGCATATACCGCATTCCCAACGTTCTTGGCCGTCTGGAGTGCATCAAAAGTTTCAGCATTTATGCTTGATGAGCATTAAACCGGGAGAATGCAATCGGGACATAAATCAGGAAACGTAATCAGGCCAGTTAGATCTCAAGGTGGGAAAGTCTGGACACATCCGAGCAAATCTCATTAGTTTACCCAGAAGCCAAAAGTGTGGGCCTAAAATCTCACGTAAACACAGTCGAGCACAAAAGTTTCCAGAGTACTCCGTGAGCATAAAAGGCGCATATGCCCACAAATGAATCTTCAGGCACACTCATAGCAGCGGATGATGTTGATGGCTACAGAGCACCTTCCACCGATGAAAAACTTGGGACAGATTCTAGTTCTTCAAACTCACTGCAACGAACAACACAAAAAAAGTAAGGCTGAAACAAGCAATGATGAACTTCTCCATGTGAAATTGATACACGCCAGGAAAGTGTATTTGAGGAAGTCTAATTAAAAAAATGAATTAGTAACATTCTTCAAGGTGGAAGTGTTTGTAAAAAGTGATGTGCTACTTCAAACATCACATACCTTCTCACCACCGGGCATCTGCAGCAACTTGAAGCCGCATTCATGGTGGTTCTTGGGAAGCACGATCTAGGCTCACCGATATAAATCATCCAAGAAGGTATGAATAGGCGCCTTTTATTCCACTTTGGCCTTCCAATTCCTATGGGAGGGAACCCAGTATCCGCGATGTCCACGAATGCCAAATTATGGTGAGTAGAGTCTCGTCCAAATAGTTGATAGATGATGCCACAAATTAAGAGCCCATATAAGGTCACTAGGAAAAAGGTGCTTATTGCCACAGTTGCAAATCCTTTGGCACCCAAGCAGATTTCTTTTCAAACGAACAACGGAACAAATCAGATACATGAGCTTTAAGACATAACAACGCCTCCTGCTACTTGAAAGCATATGGATCATGACCTTTATCAGGGTTCAGATTTTACCCTTCAGGAAAGTCTTGGTATTGACAATTGGGGATCAATAACTGATTCAGAAAGAGAGTATACTAGAACACTCCCTGATGAGGGCATCAGCGTCAGTGATGCACCGGTCAAGGTCGACAATCAAAGGAAGAACGTGACTGGACTTGCTGACTAACGAAATAGGCTTTTTTTTTTTTTTTTTTTTACTGATCCTCGTAGATCACTATAGTCCAAGCTTATCTTTCACTATTTTGGGTACTTCTAGGGGTGTTTAACGTCTATTTAAGGCCCTAGGGTATCCCAACCTTTTCCCCTCGTTTTTAGGATGGCTTAAGGCCAAAATTCCATCCCCTTTCCAAGGCCTCATATTCTTCTTATAAATAGGAGGTTGGACATGATGTCAACGGTCTATCTTTTAAGCGAAAATTTCTCAAAAAGAGGGTTGTGAAGGTCCTCTGATGTGACGGGAACCCATGATATTATACCTAGGGTTGTCAATCCTATTCTAGACCTCTCACTTATCGTTCTATTGAAGACCTTTCATCAGTGCATATACTCGTCTCTAAGTTCCCACAGGCCCTAGCTCCATGCCCCCTATTCTAGCCCACCCTTAAGAATCATAACAAGTTTCAATGTTGTAAACCAAGGCTTCCAGCCAGTGAACATATCCACAAACTTTGCCCAACCGTGAATACTCAAATAGAATGCTTTGGTTGGTCAAGATTATTAAAATTGACGTTTGCTGATTTTTCTTAAAATCAGTCACATTCCTAGTATAGCTAAGCGCTCCCTCTCTTTAGCTTTCTTTCTTCTAGCTTTTTTACTGAATGACTAGAGATCCTTATCCTTCTTTGGAAGCTCGAAACCGCTATCGCAAGCGCTTGGGCTAGCCTCCCGTTCATGGGTTATCCTTCCCCCTACATCACTCCCACCTTTCATGAGAATGAAAAAAATGATCTTCAGTTGTGATGCCAAAGAAAATATGCCTCATCCGTCCCTCCACTTAGTCCCCCTCCTCTCTCTCTCTCTTTCTCCCTTACTCTCTCTTTCTCTTGAAGAAGAATAATTTGAAATTTTAGAACATTCTCATTCTTATAGATGTGGGGGTCATTTCATAGGCAATAAATAATAGTAAAAAAAATTCAATGTAGTTTCTATTGGTCATCTTTATTTAAAGATGCTTACACATTTTATATGTAATATACCAAATGCTAAGTTACTATACAAAAAAGATATATAGTACCTTTAAAATTTATACTTGCCACTGAAGTTTTTGATATTTGGGGTATTGATTTTATGGGACCCTTTTTTTCATCTTGAGGCTATGAATATATTTTGTTAGCTATTGATCATATGTCAAAATGTGTAGAACTATTCTAATAAGAACAAATGATCATAAAATGATTAGTCAATTTGTCCAAATTAATATATTTATATGATTTAGATGTTCTAAATTGATAATTAGTGATGAGAGAACTCATTTCATTAATCATTACGTTAAATATTACTTAGAAAATATGGTGTTGATCATAAGATAACCACCTCATATCATCCTCAAACAAATGGTCAAGTTGAATTAGTCAATAGAAAAATCAAAACTATTTTATAAAAAGTTCTCTCCCAATAGAAAATGTTGATCTGAAAAATGAAAAATGATGTATTATGGGCATATAAAACAACATATAAAACTCTTTTATATGCATCATCATATAGATTCTTTATAGAAAACCTTGTCACTTATAGGTGAAAATTCAACACCATGTATATAAGGCTATTAGGAAGCTTAATATGGATATAAAAAAAATAAGACAATTTTTTTTACAAATACATGAATTAGATGAAATTCATAATAAAGCTTATGACAATACATTGATTTATAATGCAAAAGTTGAGGATTTCTATGATATACATATCATTAGGCAACATCTGGCACTAGGCCCAAAAGTTTGATTATACAATTCTAGATTCAAATTATTTTCAAAAAAATTGAGATCTAGATGGGACGATCCATTCCTTCTTCAGACCATTGATGACTATGGAGAAGAAATGATAAAAGATCTAGAAATAGGTGTTATTTTTAAAGTTAATGGGTATCAGCTCAAAATATTTTTAGAACCTAAACAAGAAAAAGAAATTGATAAAGTAGATTTGTTAGAATTGATTTGAGCTTCCATATGTTTACATGATTTTTTTGTGTGTGCAGAATTTAGTTCTTCTTTAGACTCTTCTATGATAGTAATAACATGATCAAATTTAGAAGAAAGAGTTCTCAAAACTTTTTCAACAATTTATCTTTCTGAAATATCTTTTCCAAAAATTCTCATTTGATTTATAATAATTGAGATTCAAGAAAATAAATCATGAATGAACTCACCAGATTTCATGTTTATAGTCTCAAATTCTCTATGGAGTACTTGAAGTGTCTAAATGAAATTCAACTCTCGAAAAATTTTATGCTTTTAAAAAATTTGTGACATTAGT